TTGGCTTGAGAAGCTGAATCTTACAGATATGTTTGTTTAACATATAAAGTTAGAACTTTCTTTTTCTTTCTTTTTTTTTTTTTGAGACAGGGTCTTACTCTGACACCCAGGCTAGAGTGCAATGGTGCGATATGCTCACTGCAGTCTCTGTCTCCTGAGCTAGAGTGCTCCTCCTGCCTCAGCCTCCTGAGTATCTAGGATTGCAGGCACGTGCCATCATGTGGACCTGGCTACTTTTTATATTTTTAATAGAGACTGGGTTTTGCCATGTCACCCAGGCTGGTCTTGAGCTTCTGGACTTAAGTACTTCTCCTGTCTCAGCCTTCCAAAGTGATGGGATTATAGACGTGAGCCACTGTGTCCAACCTAGAACTTTTTTTAAGAAAAAAAGCAGCATTGTGCTCTGTCACTCAGGCTGGAGTGCAGTGGTGTAATCATAGCTCACTGCAGCCTTGAATTCCTGGGTTCAGGTGCTCTTCCCACCTCAGCCTTCTGAGTAGCAAGGACTATAGATGTACACCACCTGACTAAGTTTTTTCTTCAGTTTTTGATGGAGACAGGATATCACTTTGTTGCCCAGTCTGTTCTCAAACTCCTGGCTTCAAGTGATCCTCCTTCCTCAGCCTGCTGAAGTGCTGGGATTACAGGCATGAGCCATCCTGTCTGGCTAAGACCTACCTGTTAACATCACTTCCCCCCAAAAAAGTTCTAGTATTTTTTAAAATCTTTTTTTGCCCTCTGAGTTCTTTCCTTCTCTTTCTCCAAATTCTTAGGATATCTGCCTTCTGTCTTATAAGGATAACTGCTTTTTACTTTGTATTTTTGGTGATGTACACCCATTATTTCCTGTACTAAACCACACTTCAAAAGGATCTTCGTACTGAATTAAGAGCCATATAACGGGCCGGGCGCGGTGGCTCAAGCCTGTAATCCCAGCACTGTGGGAGGCTGAGGCGGGTGGATCACGAGGCCAAGAGATCGAGACCATCCTGGTCAACATGGTGAAACCCCGTCTCTACTAAAAATAC